CGGTCACTGGTGTTCAATGCATCAAATCTATTCTTTAGATGATCTCTAAATTCAGGAGGGATATATTCAAGATCATATTTTGGCTCTCGTGGACTTGCAATAGTCAGTGAAAATAATGGACTGGTCCCTCTATTACCACTCTGTCCCCAGAACTGTATTTCTAAAATGTAACCTCCCCTCCAGAAAGTCTTCTAGAATCAGCTACTGCCTACAGGAGATTCAAGTTGGGAGGGCTTAGCATGCTTAGAGGCTCCAGTCCTGGCACCAATCTATCTTTCTGGTCTCTTGTCTTCCAGCACTCACCCATAGCCTCCAAACACCACATTTCTCACTGTATTTTCATAACTTCCCTCTGTGAAGTTGAGACATTATTCCTTCTGTCTGGAATGTTCTCCTCATACTCTCAGCCTGGCCTCCTAACCATCCTTCAAGAGCCACATGCCCTAGAGAGACCTTCTAGATGCCTGTAGGGAGAGTCAGTTGCTAGAAGTGCTGAAGTCCTATAAACCAACGAGGTTTGTTTACTTTTTCTTTTTTCTCTTCATAAATAATGTTGCACTGGAAATCCATTCCATTTATTAGTAAGGGGGCTGTGGTGCATGTTAAGGATACCTGCAAACCATCCATACTGGCCTCCTTAGACCATCATTACAGACATCACCACTCTCAGCCTGATCTTGATCTGAGTTAGGTGTTAAGCCCTTGGCTCACATCATCTTTTCCACTTTCCCCCAATCCCATCATCAGCAACATGGTGACTTGATCATAATTGAGACCCCTTGACTTCATGGTTTAACAACCTTATTCCTTCATATCATTAAAAAACAAAACAAAACAAACCTTCAGTTCTAAAGCATCAAAGCCATGTACTGGAACTACCAGGACCAGTTTCAAATTCTTTACCTTTCAATCTTCTCCTGTATGTGCCCTGACCTGACTCTCTGGACTTCCCAGAGGCCTCCTGGTTCCAAATCTGAGGGCTTTGAAACTCTGTTGAGGCAGGAATTACTGTGAATAGTCCCTGAATTCATATATACATCAAGAATTAGCTATATGCTAAATAAATAAAATCTCTCTTTCATATATGATCTTAATTTTAAAATATATTTTTATTGTCATTATGCTTTACAAAATATAAATTTAATTAACAGTTACATGGATCATGGACAAAATGACATTAATTAATTCATTTTAAAAAGTACAAAGGCCCTAAAAATACTTTGATATTAAAATGGGCCTTATACTAAAGAATGCTGAGAACCATGGCTCTAGGTCCAGCTTACTTTAACAGGTTCATTAGCTCCCGTCAAACACAAGTGATTCACACTAGCCATTAGCTGGGTTCTAACCCCCTTATCTGAAGAGTACACTGAACCCTGGCCTTGGAATTTCACCCAAAAGTTGATACAATAATCTCCATTTCTGCTAAATCACAAATCTTATCATGAGACTGGGAGGCTGAAAAATTGAGTTGTCATCAGGCAAGTCATTTATCTCCAAGGCCGAGTTTCCCTGTCTATAAAATGGAGGTAACAGTATTACTACCAAACACTACAAGTACTCAGGGTAGTGAGTACTTTTCCACTCCATTTATGGAGTCTGCACACCATAAATGTTAGCTAATGATTTTACCACTGTTGATATCTGTTATTATTATTCTTTATCCCTTTATCTGATCAATTACCAAATTCCTCTTAATTCCCACCACCATAATCTTTCCCCTAGTCAATTCATTCTTTGAGAATCAGGTTCTTCTTACAAAAAGTCATTCGATTTTAATTTCTAAAAATTCTCACTTAAAACATGACACTTCTATTCAAAGGCCTTTAAGATTCTCAACCTAGCATTCACCTCCTCAACCTAGTATTCAAGCCTCCAAATATGACCATTATATATATCCTCATAGTCTTCTATGTAATGCCATATCTCAGCAACATGACATATTTTATTTTCTAACATTTCAAAGCATTTGGTACTTTCCCATTCCCTCACTTTTGTTAAACTCATTTGTTTTACCTGTAATGTCTTCTTACTGAGTCACCTCAGTCAAATTACCTCCAGACCTCACTCTAATGTCATCTTCTCAAGAAAGTCTCTCTGGGTCATTACAGAGGAAGTCCTCCCACCTTCCACAGATCTTCTGTAACACTTCAAAACTGCCTGTGTCACTCACTGCACAGTTGTTGCTGTTAACTGCTGTCAAGGCAACTCCCTGACTCATGTTGAACCCATGCGTAATGCAATGAAGGTTTTATGACCCATCGGGTTTTCAGAGGCTAATATTTGAAAGTAGATTTCCAGATCTTTCTTTCTAGTCTGTCTTAGTCTGCAAGCTCCATTGAAACCTGCTCAGCATCACATGAAAGCCTCCAGTGACAGATGGGATGGGGCTGAAAATGAGGTGCATTGGCCAGGAATCAATCCTAGGTCTCCTGCATGGAAGCAGAGAATTCTACCACTGAACCACCACTGCCCCACACAGTTATTAGGTACATTGTATCTTCTCTGCTGGAGTTTAAGTTCTTGCGGGGTAGGATCTTATGTACCACCCAGCACTTTGCATCCAGTACTAGCTCTCAATAACATATGTGGCATGAAAACTGCAAACACAAAGCCAATCCAGAAACACAGTCACTTGCTCATACAGCAGACAATGCAGCAAAAGCTGAAGCTTACAGAAGTTCTGCTGCTTCACACATCACTTACCGATGTTAGGTCTAACGAGTCCCTGCTCAGATTCACTGGAATGGCGAAAGAGTTTCAAGTGGGGTTTTAAACCATGGATTAAATTCTGATGACTTCTACAGTGATTAAAATAACCTGGAGAAAGTTGAGAGTTTTTGTTTTTTTTAAAAAAAACAAACAAATATATATATATATATATATATATATGTTGTTGTTGTTGTTATGTACCGTCGAGTCAGAACCGACTCATAGCAACCCCTCCTTGGGTTTCTGAAGCAGTATCACTACAGAAGTAGATTGCCCAACCTTCCTTCTGAGGAGTGGCTGGTGGGTTTGAAACACCAGCCTTCTGGCCTTCTGGTTAGCCGTCAAGTGCCTTACGCACTACGCACTAAGCTACCAGAGTATGTATGTATATATATATATATACTATATATATAAAGTTTTCTAAACTGGAAAGCAAACTTAATCATTTTTAAAAGTAGTCAAGGCTATAAAAACAGTCATAAATTCCATGCAACAGAAAATTGCAGGCCTTTAAACCAATTTGAAAAGAATAATAAATTTACAGGCTGTAGAGAATCTTCGATCATATAAGCCCGATGTATTTCTGGATGGGAAAAGAAATTAATTTCTTCTAAGAAAAGTTTATGAAGTATGCCTAATACTTCTCTTCTTCCTTGAAGGCCTGGCACAGGAATCCTTAGTCATTCTGTTACCATCAGAAGCAAGAATTGTGGTTGTCATGACTACTTTGTGTTACTAAAACAATAAATGTGTTCAAAATGAGGCAACAAAGCCATAAAATGGCACATGGTATTCAGTGGGAGGATAGAGTGAGATTTCAATATTGCTCATTTTATTCCATTATAGAAAGACAAATTTTTAACAACAGGTGTATAGAGTCTGGCTACAGAGGAACAGAGTGTAGTTACCACAATTTAAAGCAGGGATCATGACTTACTGGAGGTGCTGTCAATGCTGCTGACGCTGTCCGCACTTTGCAGGTGGTGCCTGTGGAGCTGCCTGTAGAGGCTGAATTTGGAGAACTTTTTTGGCTTTCCTATCCCTTTCATTTTTGAATCCATGTCGTCAACACTCTTTAAGATTGGCAGGTTTTTATTCGATTCACTTTTATCTTTGAGGGTCATAGATTCTATAGACTCTGCTGTTTCAGCCTGAGGAAATATTTACAAAAAAAAAAAAAAAAAGGCACTGCATAAGATATACTGTAGTGCTGAGGGATAATGGGCACAAATGATGGAGACTCTAGCACAAACATACAATAACTTCCTGAAGTCAGCAACAGGGCAATGGTGAACAATTGAAATGTTCAAGAAGGAACATCAGATGTTCCACTATAGTTTATCTTTCAGTAAGCCAAATTCTTAAAATTCCCTATCAGTTAACATTTTTCCCCTCCAATACTTGAGTTACATTAACTTCTGAGCTATTGAAGTTCCTCTGATAAACATTAAGTATGTGATGTTTCTGCTGTCAATCATTTTCCTTGTTACCTATTCACTGAAGTGCTGTTTTCCCAGAAAAGTCACTGACAATTCCAACATTAAAATAAGATGGAGCCCATCAAAAATTTTAATAACCATATAGATATTTTGGCAGCTCTTGAATTAAAATGTACTGTGAGATATTAATGTCTTCCTGCTTTCAAATAGACTTGTCTCTAAATGACCACAATCTGACATAACCTATCATTATATCCTTTAACCATTTCATGATCCATGGGACATACATTGCCCACCTATATTTTCTGACTCTCAAGTTTCTTGGGAAGCTTTTATCCCAGTGGTAGTATATGCTATCACGTGGCAGGGACCTGTATAATTGTGTGAATCTGAAGGAATGGGCCTCACTCCACTAGTCCTACTACCAGAGTCCACTTGGGACATATGTGTCCCAAGTAATTGTATCAAAATCCATATTATCTCAAATTTTATTTCCTTTGACTTCAGAATGCATTTCACTAGTGAAAACACATGGAAAAAAAAATTAAAAGCAGAAAATAATTTGATCATGAAAGGGTTAAATGGGATGCGTCCAATAAACCTTTACAACTGCTTTTAATAAGGATGTCCACTGTTATCTAACCTAAATCCTGATTACTTCACAGTTTTGTTTATGAACTTTTTAAAAGTTATAAAAATAATGCATCTAGGTTAAAGAAAAATTTGGCAATGGAGAAAAGGAAAAAAACACAGACCAGCCCATCAGGCTAGCCCAAAGTTCCAGTCTAGATTTACAATATTAGCTTTTTGATATGACTATTGGTAATAGTTAACATGACCAGACAGATATGATAAAAACCATACAAAATATTATATGCTCCTTAAATGTTAATTGTGATAAACAAAACATAGAATTTCAAGGGAGTTCTGGTAGCATAGTGGCTAAGACACTTGCCTGCTAACCAGACGGCTGGCGGTTCAATCCCACCAGCCGCTCCTCGGAAGGAAGGTTGGGCAATCCTACTTCCGTAGTGATACTGCCTCGGAAACCCAAGGAGGGGTCGCTATGAGTCGGATTTGACTCGACAGCACATAACAACAACAACAACAATGTAGAAAGAAGAAAAATTATTGAAACATAGACTCTAAAAAATACCAAAGGTTTTGAATGTTTGGGGAAAAATTCAAGTCAGTCCTAAATTCAAGTAATGTTGTTGTTGTTGTTATGACTCATAGTGACCACTCCTTGGGTTTCTGAGGCAGTATCACTATGGAAGTAGATTGTCCGACCTTCCTTCAGAGGAGTAGTTGGTGAATTTGAACTGCCAGCCTTCTGGTTAGCAGTTAAGTGCCTTAGGCACTACGCTATGAGAGCTCCTAAATTCAAGTAATAGGAAATCAAATTTTACTCCAGACTTAAAAAGTAGCTAACAGGTACTCTAAAATTAAATGTATGGAAATCATACCACCTTTGGTTGTAAAACTCAGTGCTCTCAATTCAGTAATGATGGTCATGAATTAGTAATGATCACTAACATCCAAACTCATCCCATAAATTACATCCTGATGACCAATTTGAGTCACTGGAAAAGCCACAATATTGCACCTGAGGGAACTGCTGCTTTTGGTTCATTCTACCATTGCTACCACCACTACTATATCCTTAAAATGATGTTTGAATTGCAAGTATTTATGTAAGCTGCCTGAAATATTTTTCAAAATAATGCAGGAATAAATGATAAAAATGGTAATTTTGAGTGACTGCTATATGCCCAGCACCAACCTAAGCTTCACAATTATTAGTTCATTTAATCTATGATCATCTTATAGCATTAGCTATAAAATCAGTTACCAGAATTTAGGATCTGTCAGGCTTTATGTTAACAACTCTACAACTACTTTCCCCATTTTACAAGAGAAGACTAACAGATGTTATTCGCCCAAGGTTACATGATAGCTAGGGAGTGAGGCTGATATCTGAAACCAGGTCTACCTGATATTTGACTCATATTCTTTACTCCTACAGGGATATATAGCCTCTCAATCAATAATCAATCAATGTCATTCTATTAATACCTGTTTATACAACTTATTGGGAGCTCTGGTAACATAGTGCCTAAGGCACTTGACTGCTAACCAGAAGGCTGGAGGTTCAAACCCACCAGCCACTCTTCGGAAGGAAGATGGGGCAATCTACTTCCATAGTGATACTTCCTCAGAAACCCAAGGAGGGGTTGCTAGGAGTAGGGTCCAACTTGAAGGCACATAACAACAACAACAACAACAAACAACTTATTTTCATTTACCACAGCTCTATAAAGTTGAAGTTTATCTTACTGTGAGGGACACAAGGGACTGCCCTGTAGTGACACGCTTCACGCTGCCCACATCTGTAAGTCTGTGCTCATCGTCATCCCATCTTCCATAGGCCAGGTCAATCCCACCCACGAAGGCCACAGACTGGTCGATAATGACAAGCTTCTCATGATGAGCCCACAGATACACGGTAGATGACACATGGTCTGGGTGCCTCATCACCTTGAGAGGAAAAAAATAAATCAAACATAATGAATATAGAATATATTTTTGGCAGTTCTTGATTTGAAATGGACTTTGATATTAACCTCCTTCTTTCAAACAGAATTCTCCTAAACAACCCCAACCTGGTGTATCCTATTTTCATATGCCTTTAAGTAGACAGATTTCAAAAATATTTGAATATTTGGCAAATTTTTTTTTCCCCGCAATTTTTAATTAATTAATTTTTTATTGTGGTATATACATAAGTAACAAAATGCTTGCTATTTCAACAGTCTTCACATGTACAAAAAAAATCAAATCAAACCAAACCCTCTGCTGAGTCAATTTCAATCCCTTGCAATCCTAGAGGACACACAGAGTAGCACTACCCCATAGAGTGTCCAAGGCTGCAAATCTTTATGGAAGCAGTCTGCCTCATCTTTCTCCCACGGAGTAGCTGGTGAGTTCAAACTGCCAACCTTTTGGTTAGTAGCAGAATGCCTTAACCACCGTGTCACCAGAGCTTCTTTCATATGCACAGTTCCGTGATATCATGCTCATCATTTTGTTCAACCATCATTCTTAACAGTTTCCAAATCTTCCATCACCATTAACAGAAGGTCACTGTCTCTAAGCATTGTGTCTTCTTTTCTCCCTTCTTCCCATCTACCTCTGTTAACTACTAAAACTTTGCTTTCCATACACTTGTGCATTCCAGATATTTCATGTAAATTAGATCATATAATATTTGTTCTTTTGTTACTGATTTATTTCAATCCGTATAATGTTTTTAAGATTCATCCATGTTAAAGCATATATCAGGACTCCATTTTTCTTTACAGGTGAATACTATTCCAATGCATGTATGCATGTTTTGTTTATCCATTCATTTGTTTATAGACATTTATGCTGTTTTCACTTTTGACTACTGTGAATAGTGTCACAATGAACATGGGCATACAAGTAACTGTTTCTGTTCCTGCTTTTCATTCTTTTGGGTATATACCTAAGAATGGAAGTACTGTATCATGTGGTAATTCTCTGGTTAACTTTTTGAGGAACCAACAAACTGTCTTCTACAGTTGCTGTACTTTTGTACAATTCCACCAGCAATGGAAGAGGGCTCCAGCAACTACTTTTAATAAGGCTTTGCTTACCATTATTTAACCTAAATCTCAACTGTTGTACACTTTTATTAGGAAAATTTTATTTTATAAAAATAATTTATCTACATTAAGCAAAATTTTAAAAATAGAGATAAGAAGAAAACATATAAAATCCCATCACTTTAATCCAATACCATTACCATTTTCTCATATTTTCACTCTTATGGTTATTTTTCTCTAACATAATTTTAAACATAGTATGTTGTTTTTGTTATGTGCCGTTGAGTCAGACCCAACTCATAGCAACCCCTACTTGGGTTGCCGAGGCAGTATCACTACGGAAGTAGATTGCCCAACCATCCTTCTGAGGAGTGGCTGGTGGATTTGAACCGCCAGCCTCCTGGTTAGCTGTCAAGTGCCTTAAGCACTATGCTACCAGAGCTCCTAAACATAATATACATGCTGTTAAATCTTGTGTTTCCTTTTAACATTACACTAAATGATTTTTCAATATATTGCAATTAATTTAAAACTTTTCTTATCTCATCAGGTACTTAAAGGACATAAAAAAACTGCTAATCACCATCTTTTGTAATTCTTCTACTTGTAGATAATCTTTAAGTTGTCTGTAAGGCCACTACTTTCTAGGCTGAAAATCCCTAATTCCCTTAATCTTTCCTTATAGATGCAAATTGTTTAATCTTTTTGTTGTCTTAATTCCTCACTTATTCTTTGCTCTCTCTCTCTCTCTCTCTCTCTCTCTCTCTATATATATATATATATTTCATTCATTTACCAAGGAGTTCATAAGTACCACTTTTTAAGTGGTACTTATTGTATGTGAGGTGTGTCAAACCAGAAATCACAAAGACATCTAATGAAGCCTGAATATTCTGATCTCTTTAATTGTATTTATCTTTGATCCTTTTTGTTGTTGTTGTTGTTGTTGTTGTTGTTCAGGAGTGAACAGTATAAACTCTATTCTTTCAGTTATTCATGAACAAATTATAGGAGGTTCCAAGATGGCAGACTTTGTTGTTGTTGTTGTTAGGTGCCATTGAGTTGGTGTCTACTCATAGCGATGCTATGTACAACAGAACGAAACACTGCTTGGTCCTGTGCCGGCCTCACAATCCTTGCTATGCCTGAGCCCATGATAGCAGCTACTGTGTCAATCCATTTTGTTGAAGGCCTTCCCCTGTTTCATTGACCCTCAACATTACCAGTCATGGTACCTTTCTCCAGGGAATGGTCCCTTCTAACAACATGACCAAAGTAGGTGAGACAAAGTCTGGCCATTCTTGCCTCCAAGTAGCATTCAGGCTGCACTTCCTCCAGAACAGATTTGTTACTTCTTCTGGCAGTCCATGGTACTTCCAATATTCTTCGCCAACTCAAAAGCATCGAGTCTTCTTTGTTTTGGAGAATTGACAGGATAAAACAGCTGCACAGAAGATTCCACATGCATAAGAGGTTGAAAATACCATGGCTTGAGTTAGGTGCACCTTAGTCTTCAAAGAGACATCTTTGCTCTTCAGCACTTTAAAGAGGTCATTTGCAGCAGATTTGCCCAGTGTAATATATCATCTGATGTCTTGATTGCTGCTTTCATTGGTGTTGATTGTGGAACCAAGTAATATGGAAACTTTGACAACTTCAGTCTTTTCTCCATTTATTGTGACACTGTTTATTGGTCCAGTTGTGAGGATTCTTGTTTTCTTTAAGTTGAGATGGCAGACTAGGCAGACTCCATTCAGACTCTCTGCAACAAAAACGCCAGAAACAAGGGAAACACATACAGATGACAGCTCTGGATTCTTAGGCTTCAAAGGAAAGGATAAAGATATAGATCAAATATAGATTAGAAGAAGAAACTGAACAAAAACAGCAAATAAAGAGACATATGGAGTGATGAATTGCCAACTAGCCTGGCATAGCACAGCCATGTTGAAATGTTGCAAGCAGTGTTTTGATTGGGGCAGGGACCAGATAACCATGTCTATTCACACAGGACTGCACAGGTAGTACCCACATCAGTGTCCAGCAACTAGAGAAGTGTGATTGCTCCATTACCCTAATAGAGTTTATACTGTATAACCTCCTGGTGACCAGAGATTCAAGCCACCTGCTTGGCAGCTGGTCAAGAGTCCCCCCACTGCCATAATCTAGTATCATGAAAAGATATACATTCAAGAAGCTCAATGAACCCTGTTCTTGTTACCTAGTGCTGCTATGACATGAATATACCACAAATGGGATGGCTTTAACAAACAGGAATTTATTCTCTTACAGTTTTTGGAGGCTAGAAGTCTGAGTTCCAAGTGCCAGGCTCTAGGGGCTGTGTGAAAGTCCCTGGACCTTGGACTTCAGCTCTGCCTCTTGTTTCTGGCCCACTGAAGCTAGAGGAATCTCTTCACTCAGTCAGCTACTGGCTGCTGAAGCTAACAAGACCAAGGTTGACAAATAAAATGGCACAGTCCCAATGTTACCAAACAACACAGCAGGCCATTGATTCAAGTCCACCGAAAGTCCCAAGATCAGCAGAGCATGGCAGGCTGCTGAACAACTTGGCTACATGCAGGGTTCAAGTGTGCCGTAAGCTAGAGACCATTCCCCAAGGCTTCTCCTTATATAAAGGAAGCAGACCATATCCCTAAAACAGCTACTCAGCTGCTCACAGTAGATTCCATCGTTATGGATAATACTACATCCAGCTCCTCAGCCAGTCAACCAGGCCCAGCCAAGTTGATACACAAACTTAACTACCACAAACCCCAAATAAGATATACTCCAAAAGAAAATCACCATGACATATCATAATAAAACTTTCTAAAATGAAGGACAAAGTCAGAATCCTGAAAATAGGATGGAAAAATACATATCAAGCAAAAGGCAACCATAAAAGAGCTGGAGTGACAATAACTAGTCTACCCAATAAGATGACATAACAATAATAAGTATCTACACACCTAATGAAAAGCCTCAAAACATATAAATCAAACTTTAAGAAAAGTGAAAAGAGAAATAGCTAACTCTACAATAATAGAAGGAGACTCTAATGCACTACTTTCAAAGAAGGACAGAACAACTGGAAAGAAACTCAGCAAAGATACAGAAGATCTAAACAACACAATCAATCAATGTGACCTCACACATGTATACAGAACACTCCACCCAACAACTGTAAGATATACATTTTTTTCCAGTATACATGGAACATTATCCAAAATAACCACATATTATGGTACAAAGCAAGCCTCAATAAATGTAAAAATGTTGAAAAACTGTAAAGCATCTTATCAGATCATAGTGCTATAAAATTATAAATCAACAACAGGAAGAAGAAGGAAAAATATCAAACACATGGAAACTGAATAACACCCTACTAAAAACTACTGGGTAGTAGAAGAAATGAAAAATGAAGTAAAAAAAATCCTTGAATTAAATGAGATTGAAAACACAACATACCAAAATCTTTGAGACACAATAAAAGCAGTGCTCAGAAGACAATTTACAGCAATAAACATACATATTAAAAAAGAAGGCACTTGACTGCTAACCAGAAGGCTGGCGGTTCAAACCCACCAGCCACTCCTCGGAAGGAAGGTTGGGCAATCCTACTTCCGTAGTGATACTGCCTCGGAAACCAAGGAGGGGTCGCTATGAGTCAGGGCTGACTCGACGGCACATAACAACAACAACAACAACTGTGAAATCGCCATTGTAACCCAGTATTTTTGGCAATTAGAAAAAGAAAAGTAAAAAATAATAAAGCCTACAGTCACTAGGATAAAGAAATAATAAAGATTCAAGAAAAATAAATGAAACAGAAAACAAAAGAAAGAATAAATCAGACTAGAAGTTGGTTCCTTGAAGTGATTAATAAAATTGAAAACCACTGGCAAATTAAAAAAGGAAAAGAAAGACAAGGTGTAAATAACATGAATAGGAAATAAAATAGATGATGTCACAACAGAACCAACTGAAATAAAAAGAATAATAACAGAACACTATGAACAGCTATACTCCAATAAATTTGAAAACCTAAAAGAAATGGACAAATTTCTACAAACACATTACCTACCCAAACTAAGACAATCTGAGATAGAATATTTGAACAGACTCATCACAAAAGACGAAATAGAACACGTCATAAAAACAGCCCCCAACAAAAAAGAGTTCTGGCAGAGATGGCTCCTGTGGTGGTTAAGTTTATGTGTCAACTTGGCTGGGCCTGGTTCAGTGGCTGGGCAGCTGGTGGTAGTTATTCCCTATGATGAAATGGTGAGACTAGCAATCAACTCCATGGTGGCATCTACCACAAGCAGCTGAGTAGCTGCCTTTGGGATGTAGTCTGCTTCCTGTATATAAGGAGAAGGCTTGGGGATAGTCTCAAGTTTATGGCACGCTTGAACCCTGCATGTAGCCATGTTGTTGTTCAGCAGCCTGCCATGCTCTGCCGATCTTGGGACTTACAATGGACTTGAATTAATGGCCGGCCATGTGGTTTGGTAACATCGGAACTATGCCATTTTATTTGTTGACCTTAGGCTTTTTAGCCTCAGTAGCCAGTAGCTGCCTGAGTGAAGAGACACCTCCAGCTTCAGTGGGCCAGGAACAAGAGGCAGAGCAGAAGCCCAAGGCTGAGGGGCTTTCACCCAGGCCCCAGAGCCTGGCACTTTGAACTTGGACTTAAAGCCTCAAAACTATGAGAGAATAAACTCCTGTTTGTTAAAGCCATTCCATTTGTGATATATTCTTATTAGAGAGGCACTAGGGTACCAGAACAGCTTCATTCTTGAATTCAATGAAACACTCAGAGAAGAGCTGACACCAATCCTGCTAAAACTTTTCCAGAATATAGAAAAGGATTGAATACTCATGAACTCATTTTATGAGGCAAGCATAACCCTGATACAAAAACCAGGCAAAGATATTACTAAAAAAGAAAATTATAGACAACGTGGTTCATAAACACAGACATAAATATTCTTAACAAAATCCCAATAAACAGAATCCAACAACATATCAAAAATAAATAAATAAATAATACATCATGACCAAGGAGCTCTGGTAGCATAGTGTCTAAGGCACTTGAATGCTAACCAGAAGGCTGGCAGTTCAAATCCACCAGCCACTCCTCAGAAGGAAGGTTGAGCAATCTACTTCTATAGTGATACTGCCTTGGAAAGCCAAGGAGGGATTGCTATGAGTCGGGTCCGACTCAACGGCACACAACAACGACAACATCATGCAGGAGATCCTGGATAGAATGGGAGAACAATGTGGAAAAAAACTCAAAATCATTTAAAAAAAAAAAAAAAGGGGGGGACCAGGTTTGCTGGTCTGATAGAGCCTGGTGGAACCTGAGACTATGGCCCCTACCTGCCCTTTAGGTCTGGAACTGAACCCACTCCTGTGGCTTCCAGCCAAACAAAATACAGGCATATGAGCTGAACATTTACATTAGGTAGCTACCCTCCTTGGAGAGCTCAATCATGGGAGAATAGAAGGGCTGTGTATGCACAGGGAGACAGCTTGGGGCTGGGCAGGAGTGCATGGAGGGAAGGACATGGAAGAAGTGGCTATGGGGAGGAAGAGGAGAGCTGTTGAATTGTGGGAGATTACAGTCAATGTCATGAGACAAAGTGTATGTGAACTGCTGTATGGAAGATGAATTTGCTCTGTAAACTTTCGCCCAAATCACAATAAAATTAAAAAAAAAAAACTTTGCCAGTGGCCAAAGTGCAACCATCGATCTCTCCCCATTTGAAGTAATGAAGAGTGAAGAAAATCAAAGACAAATGGAAACAATTAGTTTAGATGGATCATAGGAACCTTAGCCTTCACAACTCTGAGACTAGAAAAACTAGATAGTGCCTGGCAGCCACCACCAACTGCTCTGCAGGGATCACAACAGGAGGTCCTGGTAGAGTGGGAGAAAAGTGTGGAACAAAACTCAAAATCATAAAAAAAGACCAGTCTGACAGAGACTGGTGGAACCCCTGAGACAATGGACCTCAGTCACTCTTCAAGCTTAGAACTGAACTTACTCCCATGGCTCAACTTTCAGCCAAATGATAGGCCTGTAAGGTGAATAAAAACACCAAGGTGGTCAACCATACAAGATTAAAAGGGTAGCTAGCGTTTGTCAAGGGATAAAGGTTTGAAGGCAGGAAGGGATAGGAAAGAAGAATGGATGGAAACGGTAAACACAAGGAGGAAGTGTGAAGAGTGTTATGACTTTGTGGGGATTGCAGTCAATGTCATGTAACAAAATACATACAAATTTTTGAATGGAAGACAAATTTACTCTGTAAACTTTCACCCAAATTACAATTAAAACAAACCAACAAAAAGAAAAACAATTTATGTTTGCTTTGTGTGACTTAAAGATAGAATTCTTTCATCCTAGCACATTTTCTTGCACATAGTAGGTGTTTGACAAAAATTTGGTAAAGGAATGAATAATGTTTAGAAATGATCCAACTCAAAAACTCAACCTTTGAGAGAAATAAACATTTTTATTTTATTTTTTAAGAAAGTGAAATATTACATTCTTATGTATTTGAACCCTGCTGGAGATTTATTAGCAGCTCTGGCGGCATAGTGCCTAAGGCATTTAACTACTAATCAGAAGGTTGGCAGTTCAAACCCACTAGCCACTCCTCAGAAGGAAAACTGAGCAATCTACTTCCATAGAGAAACCACCTCAGAAACCCAAGGAAGACTCACTATGAGTCAGAAGCGACCCAAAAGCAGTTAGGTTTTTTTTTTTTTTTTTTTTTTGAGATTTATTAATTGATTAAGTCCCAATGTATCTAAATGACTAAGCAATATTTATTGACAAACGTTTTAGGTCTTTGGTAAAGTATCAGAAAGTTTTCAAACTGCTCACCATTTTTATTTACTTTATTATTATTTTATACTAACCCATTGCTGCTGAGTCGATTTTAACTCTTAGCAACCAACAGGACAGGGTAGAACTACCCTGTGGGGTTTCTGAGGTTATAATCTTTATGGAAGCAGACTGCCACATCTTTCTCCTGTGGAATGCTGGTGAGTTCGAACTACTGACCTTTCCATTAGCAGCAAAGTGCTGAACCACTGTGCTACCAATATTCTTTTTAAAGTAGGTGCTATGAATAAGAGAAGTACCCTGGGTGAAGCAAATGGTTTAGCGTTTGGCTACTAAGTAAAAGTTTGTTGGTTCAGATCCACTCAGGAGTACCTCATTAGAATAATCTGGCAATCTATTTCTGATAGATCACAACCACCGAAGACCCTATGGAGCATGGTTCTACTTTGTCACATATGTGGTCACCATGAATCAAACAGCCATGATAGCCACTGGTTTGGTTTTAGTTTTCATTAGTAAGAAAAGCCCTTTGACACGTAGAGGGGCTCACTTTGTTGCAGCAGTATTCAGGGGATGTCACAGGAAGATCACATCTAAGAACAACTCTAGGAAGCTTGTTCTTGGCTAAACTGTCACTTTCAGTGATAAGGGCCAGTGAAGCGCAAATGTGAACTCGGCTGACCTCATTGACATAGGGAGTATAAGTATAGTTTCTATTTCATGACTGAGAAAAGATGCAAAGTTATTTATTAAAAATATAAACCAGCAAGTTCTCCAGATTACCACTGCCTAGAGTAAAACACTTAAACAGATCTGACAAGCTCCTACAGAATAATAAAGAAGTAACGTTGTTCACCAAGATGAACTTCCATACCTTTATGTTGGGGTGCAGGCGCATTAAAGTCTTCTTGCTGTATTCACTATTGATTCCAAGAGCGAGTTCCACCTCTTTGTAAAGCATTATGAAGATCCTTACCCCTTGTTGCTGTCACAAAATAAAATACAAGAAGGAGTGAGTATCTTTGGGAAATAGATTTTCTTTTTCTTCTTCCTTTTTGTGCATCATACTTTTCTAATCTTCTTTGAATAAATGAGTATAATAAATATTTAATGAAAAAGGCAATACAAGAAAGTCAAGATACAAATAAGGAAAGTAAAAATTTACCTCCCTTCCTTTCGTAGCAACTTGTCACACCAAGCAAGAGTTTCAATATTTGACTAGTCACAGATTCAGAATGTTGAAATTGTAACTCAACTACTAAAAGTTTCTGTTCATATTATGTCATTTAATATTTCCAAACACTTGTCCCTGAGTAAAGTTTTAATGTGATTCAGTTATAGGATCAGGTTTTTTTATTTGTTTGCTTATTTCTATTACACTTCAATTCGTTGAAATAGCAGTGATAAGAAACTCTGATGTAATAAATTTGAATCACACATTGAAGAAGTCTTACTGGGTTGAAAACATCTAATTTATAAGAATTGGATATTTTTGCAATGCTATGAAAATATGAAATAGCATGTAAGTTAATATTCTTAGGTTCTACACTGCAGGATATGAAATCTTGGGAGCAAACCAAACACATATACAGTTTAGTGATATTGCTCTGCCAACAGTCACAAGCACACTTTGATCCCTAAATTCCTATCAATAACTTACCATTTCAAAATTTTAATACTCTCTCTCTTGATATTGGTGTTAGTAACATCTGAAAGGAGTCCCTGAGTGGTGTAAATCGCTGAACACTTGGCTGGTAACTGAAAGGCTGGCAGTTCAAGTCTACCCAGAGCCATCTCACAAGAAAGGCCTGGTGATCTACAGCGAAAAAATCAATGATTCAAAATCCTATGGAACACAGATTTCTGATGCACATGGGGTTACCATTCGCTGGAAATGATTTGACAACTATTTTTTTTTTAAATATCTGAAAAAGTATGTTTTTGGAGAGACACATTAGATTTATGTTCTGGTTTGCATTATGAAAATCTGAGCAGAGGAAGAAGATTGTCCTTGCTCTGAAAAAAATAGTATAAAAAAGGTATAAGTCATTATACTTCTCTGTTTAACAGCTGGTCTTTGGATTCACAAGTACATAAGTACCTAAGCATAGATTTGAGTAAAGAAATAAGGATGTGAAAGTCTGGCCAGTGAGTATCCTACAATGGACCACTAACTGAGGGCTCTAAGTGAAAATTAGAAAATAATTTTATTTTTCTCCTCTACTATGCAGATCTGTTTTTCTATTTGAGTATTTTAGAATTCTGCACTCAATAACAGTTAAAGAAAATAGCCTTCCATTGACAGATATAATACAAAGCTTAAAACCCAAAATTTCAACCTGAATTATACCTGACATCTTTCATCATGGTTCATTCATTTTAAATGGATGAGATTCTGCTTCTTAGGCTTAAAACATCATTACTCATGAAGGGCAGTAGCTGGGAATTAAGAACCTGGCTTAACTCCTGTAGTTTTCCATTTACCTGCATAACTAATGGAATTTTGAAATAATAGAGATGTTAACACTAATGGATTTCTTTATTACTTTCCATCTATTAATACCTGACATTTTCTGTATGCTATGCCTTTTCTCACTGAAAGTAAATTAACTTTAAAGGAAATAGAGCAGAGACATTTAAGTCTTTTTAGCTTAAATATAAATGAATAATCAGGAAGTTTAAAATATAAAAAGTTAACTTTATATGGTCTGTTTTATAATTATTTATCTACAAATGGACATAATAGTCAATTAATGGCAAGACTTATGTGATTATAAAGTAATAAATTCTCCTACTATTGGTAAAGGCTTACAATACTATCATCAACTATTAAAGGGTAAAGAAAAATATTCCTTAGCAATGAAGGCATTTGCTAAGTTATAATAGTGCAGACTTATATAAATTGTGGAAAATATGTATAAAATGAAAGCCAAAATTAAAAATATATAAGAGACTGATGTTAATTCTATAATTCAAGAAAGAGACTTTTTGAAACATTGTTACACCAATGCCTTTTGGTGACCTTTGGGAAAATTGCTTTTGCTTAGAGAGGGGAAGGAAAGTATGAATAACGAAAGCGAAAGCGGGAAAGCAGATGACCCCAACTTTGTCACATGTCATGTTTCTTATCTCTGCTGAACTCAGCTAACCCTACAGTGCCACAGAATATAAACTTCATGAAAGTTGAGCTTTAAAATATAAATTGTGTCTTATTTTCTAATTAGTTTCTCATCAAGTAGAACAGACCCTACCCTATAAACAACAGGTTCTTTCAGGGGCCTTACATATACAATGGACATATGAAGACAATGGAAAATCAAAATAAATTACAGTTGAAATCAAAGAGACTTATTTCTTAGCCAGCTTTTTATCTGATTGCTCAAAGTACTGTGGTCAAAATACTTTCAAGGTGCAGCCAAGATTGGTTCTAGATGCTGGATGATAGCTTCGAGTTTATAGACTCCCACTAATCTTTTCACTTGTCACTTACAACTTTACTAGGGGATGCAACACTATAGGAAAAGTAAAGGATGAAAAGAAGTCTTATTCTCACCATTTAAAAGCAGGCAGCCTTGGGGTTTGAGAGCACAAATCTTCATGTGTCCTTTTTTTTTTTTTTTAAATACAATTTTGTTTAAAGCATAGATCTCAAGGGTTAAGACACCATCTCTTTTCCTCACAAGCCCTTCTAGCTCACCACATTGATAAGATTCAACTTGATTTTCTATGCACAGATATGATTATTTATCTCTCTTGCCAGACCTAGACATCTTTCCCTTCTACTGGTCACTGACTGCAATTCAAGAATGTGTCTTCTGGTCCAAGACAGAAAGAAATGAGCCTGAAGACAGTTTCCCCGTCTGACACCTAAACTCTTTCTTAAAGTCTCCAGGTTGCTTACTTGCATATTCCTTTGTTGCAATAGCACACATTTCAAACACAATTGAGGTGCAGGAATACAGTTACCATAACAAAGATGTAACTTAGTTTCTGGGTGGTCCAAACAGTTAAGTGCTTGACTACTAACTGAAAGGCAGGTGGTTCAAACCCAACCAGAGGCACCTCATTAGAAAGGCTCGGTGACCTACTTCTGAAAGGTCGTAGCCTTGAAAACCTATGGAGTATAGTTCAACTTTACACACACGGGGTTGCTATGACTCAGAAGCCACTGCACAGCAACTTTCTTTCCCCCTTGTTTTAACTGCTGTAAAAAGCAAAACTATGGAAAACCTTGTATGCTGATTTTTTTATACTATAAACACTTTGCCTCTCCATACTGGTTTATACTATTTTAAATGATGCAATTCATATCAGAAAGCCAAAGACACAGGAAAATATCAACATGGTTATTACCACAGAAAAAAAAAGTTATACTTTTTTTGCCTAAGAAACAACCAGTATGAGAGGTGCTGCCTATGTGTTGGCTATAAGGCAGAGATGCTTCCTAAATTCCTCTCAAAAAACCTGTACAATCACATAAAAGAAAAAAATCCATTTTAATCAATCAAACTTACAGGCCTCAGGGACCCAGTAGTGCCAGAATAAACATTACTTTTCAACGCAGTACTCAGTGAGGTGATTCTGCAGCATTCAAATCTGAATTATTTATATGAGGTGGTGCTTATGAACATATAGAATTTTGATGTGGAATGATCTGAGTGTTAAAAATATATGACTAAAATATGATATGGTGTAGTTTGATGAAGGAAGAGTAATACTGCTCAATATATCAGTGAGAAATTAATCTTTAATAGTATTACGTTTTCCTTAGGAAATTTTAATAATCATTACCACAATTCAAATACTATAAAATTCAGGAAGGGGATGTATCAGAAATGAATCATCATTCTCAGGCAATAATATTTACTTGGTCATGGTGCTCACCAAAGACCTCACCAGAGTTCATTAAAAAAGAAAAAAAAAACAAACTCATTGCTGTTGAGTCAGATCCGACTCATAGCAATCCCGCCTTGGGTTTCTGAGGCGGTATCACTATAGAAGTAGATTACCCAACCTTCCTTCCAAGGAATGGCTGGTGGGTTTAAACCACTGCCTTCTGGTTAGTAGTCACATTCCTTAGACACTACACCAGCAGAGCTCTTACCAGAGTTCAAAAGGACATAAAAGCAAAGAAAAGCAACACTAGTGATATACAAGTCAATCAGAGGGAGAAACATGAGGGAAAGAGACAAACACAGACCGGCCAACATAATGGTGGAGGGTCAAACCTGCAGGACGTTCTCCTTGAGGCTGCTTAGCTATTTACTAGGAGCACTGGTAGCATAGTGCCTAAGGCACTTGACTGCTAACCAGAAGGCTGGTAGTTCAAACCCACCAGTCACTCCTCAGAAGGAAGACTGGGCAATCTACCTCCATAGTGATACCTCCTCAGAAACCCAAGGAGGGGTCACTATGAGTCAGGTCTAACTCGATGGCACATAACAACAACAAGGCATTTACTAGCTTTCTGGCATTTACTCAGATGTCCTGTAGTGATCTAAAATTTAGTTTTGTGAATGCTAGTTCTCCCTACATTCTCCTGTTACCAGAGCTACCCTCCCAATACACACCATTTTGATCAAGTTCTTCCTTCTCCATCTCCCACACACAGCTTCCACAACCTCATTCAATCTATGGTTCTAGGTTGATCTCCCATCCTACCTATGCTAACACTCAGTTGTCACCTTATTATGACTAACAGAACCTTCTGTATTCTTGCCTTTGCAATGTTTTCTCACAGCATTTCCTACACGTAGGAAATTGTTTTCTTAAAAACATTTTTTTGTTCATCCCGCATGCCCTAATCTCTCATGTTGTGAGGGGTCTTTTGGATCATATCTGTCTAGTTCTCTTCCTCTTATCACTGAATCTTGAATGCTGGCACCTCTTCTGTACCTCTGTTGACACTTGTGTAGATTTTTAAACTCCATCAGGCCAAGATTCATGCCTTTTATTTATGTACATCCCTATATCATTAGCAAAGTA